TGTTTTTTAAATATAACTTAAAATTAATCAGGTTCCAATATTAATGCAAGTCTGTTATCATCACTGTTCAGCCCAAGCCCCACAAACAATTAATTTTTTTTTTCTTTTAATAAATATTACATATACGGCCAGGGTGAGGAGCGTGCGCATTGTTGAATAATTAATATCTCATTATCAAAAACTTAAAAATGCTGGTGATTATTTTCTCCTTAATAAATAAAAACCAAAACTCACCGTTCGTTATTATTATAAATGATTATATTATTACAAAAACAAGTATCATATATGTATCCTTATACTAAGTATATTTTGTTAACAAAAAAAATTAATAATTATTAAGTACCTACTAGCTTTTCCCCGCGGCTTCGACCGCGTCTGTGTCGGTTATCGCGGTAAAAAGAAGCCTGTGTTACTCGCTGATAATGTAGCTTTCCATTGATAATTTTTAAAATCAGTTTCATGGTTTAAGCGTGAAAGAGTAACAAACAAACAAACTCACTTTCACATTTATAATACAAGTATGGATGGATAACTTGTGTTTAATTCAAAATTTTAGGTCAGATATGCTAATAATTTTATATTAGGAATTTTATATTTAGTAACTTTTTAATATCAGCATCAGCATCCGCTGATATTGATCTAAAAAAATTGAGCATCATCATCAATAAAATGCCTAATGGCATAAAGTCGGCCTTTGTACAATATGTGCATTAAGTTTAAAATAAATAAATAAACATCCATCTATACAGAAAAAACCTAAAAGTACTATTAATCTTAGAGAATTTGTAGTAAAAACCAAAACGTAGTTTTAAAGCTCCTCAAAAACTCCAAGGCTATTTGCCTTAGACATACATATGTTCAGGAATTAAAGAATTAACATAATAAGTATTACTTACGCACAATACTGGAAAAACTAAGAAACTAAGTCAATATAATAAAATGACAATGGACAATGGAGGTGAGAGGCCATGAGAATTAAACTATTAATTTGAATATCAGTAGTTTTTAAACAACTTTCGGTAAAACAAATATTAAACCTAAACGTCAATGGTAGCATAATGGCCTTGTTTTGTATCCGTGAGCATATAATCAATGCCGAAGCCATTAGGCCAACGCCGGTGCCTAATACTTAGCTAGTAGTCGGACTACTATACGCCGTAGTCCAACTTTAGTTGAACAAAGCAGTTGGACCACATTGTCTTCCCTTCGCATAATTCGCATTGCCTCAGTCAGCCTGATGTAACCTGATGTAACGTTTGAATCATAAAATTTCGTACACACTTATATATAATAAGTGTTTATAAATGTTTTTGTGTATTTAAATATATAACAATAACATAAACATAAAACAACAGGGCAGTTTCATATCATCTTAAAAAGGATTGAAATCGTGAATGTGGACGTTGCCACTTAGAGTATCTAAAGTATTTTGAGCAGTTGTTCGAAATGACCACGCAGCTACCACCAGTAGTTTCACACTATCCAGCAGCAATTTTAACCAGTCTAGTCTGGAATTTCAAAAAAAGTCAACACCTTTTATACCGTTCTTATACTTATCTAAGTATGAACCATTGCCGGTCTTGCATAAAGTTTTTGCTATTTTGACAACGCGTTAACATGTTCTGAAAGCTCTTCAGTAAATATGTCAGTTGGACCGTGTGTTCATTGTTGACCTCATCGAAGATAAATTGTAGTAACACTACAATTATAAAAATTTATAGATATTCACCGACTAGTGCCAACATTCTTACTTAGCAAACGAGTAGTGTAAAGTTAGGTCACGCTTATATAATCTTCGTGCATTGTACAAAATAAATATTCACCCGGTGGCCGTGATGGCTGACATAGCCCGTTGCGATTTTTATAAGTCATAAATTTTTACGAGTCATCAAAATTTTCAAACCATCTCTTTTTATGGCCGTTGAAAAGTACAGTTAGGCTGATGGTAGAGAAATGAATTAAAAGAAGAATTTAAGAGTGTAAAATGATATTTTTATAATGAATATTACGTAAACTACACCACCACTATTACTTTTATTTCCATTATTTTTATTTGTTACTTTTATTTGTCATTTCATAAAGCAAAAAATAAACTGCGGCAATGACCTATTTTTAAGATAAATTATTTATAAGCTCTCATAAAATCAGGAGTTATAAAGTTTTCCATTGTTCTTAAATTTACAACCCGGGTAATAAAATTGATTCCTTAGTTGTGGTGGCATTAAATTTATTGTCACGAATGGGAATCAAAACCGCCACAGTTATTTATTTTATTTCCAATTTTTCATAATTTCATCATATTATACGTATTTACAAAACGGGCGTATATATAATATGTATTTATAAAAAGAAAGTAAATAAATATTCCATCAGTCAATCTAGCTTTTACAGTACGAGGCCTGCTTAGTTTGAAACTAGATGGCGTTGTGTGTCAATCTCCAGAAATATTATTTTTGTTATATGTAAATACACATAATACTATACTCTGCAATTTGATATTTACACCTATAATAAAGTGTCACCTGTGTCTTTATATCTGTTGTCCCACACCCAACATTAAAAAATAATTGAAATAACCGCAGACAGGTAACTTACTACGGGAGAGCCATGCCATCGACACATATAGACCAGGCTCGACCGGAGTGATACCACAGCCTCACAGGAAACCAGGGCCGGATTAACCATTAGGCAGAGTAGGCAACTGCTTAGAGGCCCTGCATCGGTTAGGGGCCCTGCTTCTGCTGTTAGTTCCTGAGGAGTTACGCATAAGTCAGGTGATGCTGCTGATGCTATTACTCACAACACTTCAACGACTTACAATGGGCTGAATCTCCAAAAACAAGGGGCCCCGAGGATTGCATTGCCGAAGCATTTCCTTCGTTACCTTTCATGGAGTGAATGAGGTTACCGGAGTCCAAACCCTGCTTCCTCTAATTCTGCGGGTAGACTCAGAAGGCGACAATACACTTGTAACTCATGAGTTGCAGGAGTCCATGAGCAGCGGTAGTTACTTACCATCAGATGATAAGTCTGCTCGTTTGCCTCCGATAAAAAAAAAACAATAAAAAAATATTTTTATTAAAAATAAATTTAAATATATATTTTATGGCATACTATAAAAAAACCGGTCAGATACGAGTCGAACTCGTACGCCGAGGGTTCCGTACCTACCCAGATTTTACGTACTTACAAGTTTTCGCGTAAATCTAAATTTGCCCATATCTTTTTATCGTGTTGACTCAGAACCTTGATTTTTTACACCTAACAGGGACCATAGTCCTCAGTATGTGGTATAAATTTCAACTTGCTAGGTCAACCCGTTCCTGAGAAAATCGGTAGCGACACACGGACAGACGGACAAGAAAGTGATCTTATAAGGGTTCCTTTTTTACCTTTTGAGGCACGGAACCCTAAAAAGTCTAAATCTGCACAATTATAATACTTAATACAGCTCAATATGACTCCTGACGTCACTACGTCAAAACACTTGAAACATGCATCTCGGAAATCGACCCTCGCAGATTTTTGACCGCTTCTTTCGAGTGAGAAACTTAACTTTGCCCTTCTAAAAATACTCTCCCCTGGGTTTACGTCACAATCAGTGTTTCAATAGAAGTTGAAAATCGCATAAGAAACCTTTTTTTATATTTAAGAACAGATTCACGACTTTCAGATTTTTTTTCATTTATGCGACCTCGCCTCCCGCCAAATTTCATGATTCTAGGTTTTGATCTACAGACGACATGATCAAATATAATTTTTATATGGCCCGTGCCTCTTGATTGCGTTGCCTTAGAAGCTTGATTTTTTTACAGCTTCAACTAACTGGAGACATAGATAATAATGTTATTTGCAATTTGTTGAGTTCACACGTTCCTGAGAAAAAGAGTTTTGCTTGATTGGCAGACATACAACCAAGTGATCCAATAAGATAATAGTTCCAGGCAAAAGTAACTTTAATAAATTGATTTTCAATGCCATGAAAATAATGCTTGTTAGTAAAACGAAACTTAAACGTCACCAAAACATTAAAACTGATTGGTATCAGCTAACTTCTAAAATATGTAAAAGAAATTAACTGCTTTTGGAATTGGACTGAAAGATATACAAATCACGTGAATTGTGTATTGTTTTGTTTTTTAAAAGACAACTCCCGCACTAGGAATAAATCCTGTATCGCGGTGCACTTTGCAAACATACATTAAACGGACACAAAGTACACCCAGACTCAGAACAACAATTTGTGCATCACACAACAACTTTGGTCTGTGTGGTGACGGATTAAGAATACGGCATGTCATCACCCCTATTCATCCCGTGGGTGTCGTAAGAGGCGACTAAGGGAACAAACTACGCAGGAGAACAGCACTGCAAAGAGAAAGAAAACTTGAAGCAAACCCGATACCAACCCGTCTGGCCAGCGTGGTATAGTAGGCCAAGCACTCATTTCTAAGGAGAGGCCTATGTCCCACAGTGGACTAGTAATGGCTGTTAATGATGATGATGATGATGAAAACAACTTTCACTTCAAGTTACTTAAACTTAAGATGTGCTTTATCTTCAGATATTCTCGATCAGTAAGGAAAATCTGATGCTGTTAGAATTTTAATTAATAAATGCTTATTGTTGACGTCGTTCCAAAATGTTTAGATATACCTACCTAACATACCTAATGTACCTAACACATCTCACACAAGGCCGTCTGATCCTAAACTAGGAAGAGCTGTGCTATACATACCAGACTGCTGATAAACTTACTTATATATTTTTCTAAATACATATATATTATAGATAAATTACACCCAGATACAGAACAAATCATCGTGCTCATCACACAATTATTTGTCCTGGGTGGGAATTGAACCCACGACCTCCGGCTTAGCAGTCAGGGTCACTAACCACTAGATCAACAGGCCTGTCGATATGCGAATAGACTATCATATTCACACTGATTTGTGCTTATATCAGACATGACGTAACGTGACATTATTTTGTTTCAGATGGCGCAATGTTTTATCCCTGTACTGCTCCTCGCGACAGTAGCCCTCTCATCGAGTAATGTACTTCCAATGACCATGAACCACATAAGTAAGGAATCACTCGCCTTAAATGGCCAATATAATGACAATATATTTAGTAATAGATATCAAACAAGGAACGTTCTCAATGAAATATACAAACTGTACGAGAACAAACCGACAATGAGTAAATTACAACTAACATTCGCAGATCCGGACAATAATGGCGAAGATATTTTGAGTATTTTTAATAAAAACGATAACTACAATGGCGAAGGCTTTCGGAAAGAACAATGGCATAACTATCCAAGGCAATTAGACCGTCTTCATCAAACGAAGGAATACAATAATGAGAAAAGGAATTTTGAACCCGACCCTAGCAAAGAACAATACACTGAAGAAATCGCACCTGGTGACCATAATGTGAATGACATAACCAACGAATATCACCTAGACACTAATACTGATACGAATGACGTCTACGAGGCTGTAATAGCTGCTAACCCCTTATTAATACTTAAAATACGATTAGCATGCTTGAATAAAGATGTTGAGAATGCAAACACTCATTACGCTAATCTTTTGAGTTCAGAATTAGAATTTAATAATATGAAAGACGATGAATTGAACGCACACATTAGGAACGATAACCCCGCAATGAACGTAATAAAAGTTAAACGAGAAGATGTATTTAGCACACAAGGTGGAAAATCAGGTAAGTCAACAAAAAATTAATAAAAGAAGGGTTTCTCTATCAACGCGTTTTATTAGTTGTTACTTTAGCATATCTTTTTAGGATACAATAATTTATAATTCTGAAAACTAAACATTCTCATAAATCGAAATACAAAAATATTCATCTCTGTTTCAGACGCGACTAAGGGTACATTCCGTCCAGTCAAGTTATAATCAATGATTATAATTTGACTGGACGGAATGTACAGTACATACTAGACTGTATGACTATAACTTGGTAATGCTCTGATAATATTTATGAATATATGAAATATGAATTCACTCGTTTTCAGATAATGCTTCAACTGAAAATAAAGTTGTGAACAAGAGAATCTTTTCGTTGTGGAGTCGTTTGCAAAGTCTAAACCATAAGGGGCACGAGTTGCAGCACAGACGGCATCTCCACGCCTTCTATGGTCTACCCGATTCTGACGGAGGAGGGACCCTTACCGCAGAAACCAGAGCGACCTTTTTACGACCACCCGGCTCACCTTTACGATGGGGATGAATCTATAATCAATAATTAAAAGGCTTTTACTTAAGTCATTACTTTGCAAAGTTACATGTTACAATAAAAAAGACGTGAAATAAAACATAATTTTTTAACGGTTTTCGAAGTAAGTAGTGTTTTAGTCTTTTGAGATTAGATTAGACAAAATTGCTTCTGTTGACTTATGTTGTTTCTAAAACACTACGGTCGTCTATGTAGATGTACGTTCATCAAAATTTTCTTGAAGTTTGTTTGTAATATGCTCATTAACTAGTTAGTTCTTCTTAAGACTTAGCGCTAGATGTTTCGACATTAGTGTGGTGTGTAATTAAAGCAATAAATTTTGGTATACTGATATTCGCAATTTAATTAGTAACTTTATAAAAAGTTACTTTGATGGTTCAATCTAAAGCTATTATTTGTTTGCAAAGCTAATGAATTTAATTTTATAAAATTTAAAATGTTATTGAAGTATTATTGAAAGTATGCTGAATAGTACAATAAAATGACCAACTCAATACTATCATTTTAGATGGTTGTCTGGTAGTAAATAATTTACAACAAAATATTTGTATTGACTGTTTTACATTATAAAAAATGTAACAATAAGTACGTTAATCTAATAATTATTACTTAATATAATAAGAAATAATTGACTGTGGATAAAAATTTTTATGGTAAAATGCTTGATTTAAATGCTTAATGTCTTCTGAAATATATATATTTGTTATTATCCATAGAATATAAAAATATATTATCTACTTCCATGTCTAATGTGTCTATAAGGTTTTAAAACAAAATATTTGAATAATAATAGCGATACAAAATGATTACGTATATTTCCACTATATATGTAAATAAATAAAATGTATATCAGCTTCAATGTTTTATTTAAATTTGCCAGTGTAAATGACTTGATAAAAGTGCCATCTAGTTTATAAACTCAGAACTACTCTTATAAAAGAAACCAGATACCAAAATAGAATGAGAACAAACAATTATACAACTATTTACTTGATAACGTTTAGTAGGAATATCATATCTCTGTAAATAAACCCGCTGTGTTTAAGAGACATTTCCAAAACTGATCTAAATAGATTGAATCACTCGGTATATCTGGCAAGTTTTTACCAAGATGTCATTCTGTTGAAGGTTCTTCCTCGTATTTCATCTTTTAAGTTACTATACCTACTACTGCAATGGCGGTAAGTAATAATCAACTTTTATTATTGAATTTCGGTATAATATTAACTTCATTGTAGGTAAATAAATAAATACTTACAAAAACATAACAATAATAAAAGAGCATACCTAATTTATTAATCGTTAGCAGCCTGAATCAAAATTTAATAGACATGAAAAAGTTAAGTGATTCTAATGGCATTACAATGTATAGGAACCGATTTCACAACAATCTCTTTGCCGTCAATAACTAACCTAACCTAACCTCAAAATATTTAGAAACGATCTTTATTACTTTTAAATCATAATCTTTTACATGGTTTTTGACCTCAAATATGAATGTAACATTCACACAAGTCTTTTTGCTGCTTATCCTCGTTTATTTATACTCGTACTTTAACAAAGTGTGGACACATCAAACAGTGGACATCAAAAATACGGGTAATTTACATGCAGTCTCACTGAAATTTAGTGAATATAAGAATGAAAAAGTAAGTACACCTTCTTAAATGAAAAAAAAAAGGAAATTTCGAATTCCGTTCATAAGCGACGGAGTTCTGAAGCAACAAACATAAAAAAATGTTACCGAATTGAAAAAGTTGTCTTCTTTTAGAAATCGAAAACGTACGATGAAATCTGACATCAACGATGATTTAATTCTTTGTTGATTTTTTTCAACATAGTAAATAGGTATTATTATTGTTGAAAGATCTGTTCTACTACTCAGGTTTTGCATGAACATTATTTTTATGGAGACGTTTAAAAATATAAATTCTACTTAACAGCGTCGGATAAAAAGGAATATCGAAAATTAAAAAAAATAATAATAATAACAGATAAATATCATTAGGACCTTGAATAAGTTCTCGCTGTTTCATCAAAGACGGCAGTAGCAGTATTCCGTGATTCAAATTTCGAATGGTAACGCACTTGCAATGAGGTACTGTATCTAACCTAAAATTTCAGTGTATGATAGTTCACTTTAGTATAAACAAAGTATTTTTTTTATTACTTTTGAAAATATTTACTTTTGTGCCAAATAAAGTGTATTTGCGAGGAATTTTATTGCACTACTTTATTCAAAAGAAATCTGCACCTGAAGCACATAGAATTCTTGTTGAGACTTATGGTGATAATGCTCTGTCGGATACGACATGCAGAGACTTGTTTCGACGCTTCAAAAATAATGATTTTGAACTTGAGTATAAACAACGTTCTGGCGCACCAAAAAAATTTGACAAGGAATTGGAGGAATGACTCTATGAAGACCGATCTTGGAAAAACATTACAAGTTCATGAGTCAACTGTTTTAAAAGTGTTAGGAATGATCCATGAGTGCCATATGCATTGAAGCCAAGAGACATCGAATGGCTTTTTGTCACGTGTTCTTACAACTACTGCTTCAAAGGCAGAAGAAGAAACGTTTTTTGCACCGTATCGTGAATGGCGATGAAAGATGGATACGCTATGATAATCCAAATCGTAGAAAATCATGGAGCAAGCCTGGCCATGTATCAACATCGCGCGCAAAACCTCTGCTGATCCCACCAAATACATAGAAGAGGGTGTAATTTATTATGAGCTGCTCAAACCGAATGAGACTATCACGGGAGATCGCTAACGACTTCAATTGATGAGTTTGAGTCGAGCCCTAAAAGAAAAACGGCTTATCTGAGCATCACTTTCATTCTTACGAAGAAGCTAAAAAATGGGTCGATTCTTGAATAGTCTCAAAAGACATGTCGTTTTGCCGGCGCCGACATTATTTACTGCCAGAAAGATGGGAGAAAGTGGTCTCTAGTGACGGGAAATACTTTGAATAAAATGTTTTTGTTCCTAATATTTTAAATATAGTTTTTATTTTGAAATAAAACAGCGAGAACTTATTCAAGGTCCTTTTTATTTTACTTAAAGATGGTGAACGTAATAATAATCAATAAATTGCACTTACGAGTCATATGTGCTGTCACCGTTTGAGTTGTCTTTGTTGAGTTGACTCTGATAACCTCACTTACTCGTTGAAAAGCATATGGAATGGCTTAACATCGGTTGTCTGCAGCGAAACGATCGCATGATTTTAAACCTGGGTTTATGATTTTAGTTTATGCTACATTTAAATTTCAAGTGTAAAGCCATAATCGTTTTATTTTCTCTTTCATAGGGCATATAAGAACTTGAAATACGAGCTGTTGATTGCATGTAGGTACTGTTACTGCATGAAAATTGTTTTCCATTTAATTTTTTGTCATTAAACGAAAGTTTGAACTACTGACACACTGCCCCCATGCATTTAAGGCATTTTTCGAACTGTGGGAATTTATGATTAAAGCGATCAGGTAACTATAGTAACAGTGAATAAACCATTAAAAAAAGGAAGAAACCTCAGATCTTTTAGCTTAGGTAAGAAATATATTTCAAACTTCGTCATATTGTAAGCTTACAATTCTGTCTATTCACTCTTTAACAACAGTAAGTGTAAAGTAAAACAATGTCTTTTGTAAACTAATTTACGAATGATGTTTAAGTTTGCTCAATCTCAAATACTTTTCACGAAAGGTAAATAATTACACATAGAAATTTTCAGCCCAACTTAAAGTTAAATCATTTACAATTTATAATTTTCTGAAAAGACCAAAAAGCATCTACGAGTATAAAATGGTTAAGTTTTAAGATGATATGGAATAAAGATGACATACAAAAGATGATTTCTAAAGTTTAGGCAAGGTTAGTTTAATAATGGACGTTCTCATAACTAGAGACAAACAGTTTTCTAGTTTCATATTTAAAAAAATTCAAGGCAACAAAAGACAAAAAAATAAATATGCCTGCAGTAGAAAAAGTTTGCCTCTTACAGGGTTATAGCACAGTAAATCATAAATAAAAATATAGATAGCCATAAACATACTTTCTAACAAAAAACAACAATACCAGTCGTGCCATCCCGTTCTTGTTACTGTTTACAAATATTGGTTTTCCCTTATATTAGTTTATGTTCACTTTGTGCTTCGTGAAGACACGACCTGGCTTTTTCTGGTTTTTTTTTTATGGAAGATCGGCAAACAAGCAGACGGGTCACCTGTTGGCAAGCGACTACGGCCGCCCATGAAAGCCTGCAACTCAGTAGTCACAAGTACATTGCCGCCCTTTGAGTTTTGAAGGTCGTATCGGTTCAGAAATACCGCAGACGTTAACTTGTTCTTAAGTTGGTAGTACGAGGCAATAAGTATCTTGAAAAGCGCATAGTGGTAGGGATGAAAATTTTGCGGAACGATGGCGGAAAGTTGCGGCGGTAAGATTTGTACGATAGAGAATGCAGAACAAACTACATTTCTAAGTAATGCCTTTTGGCTATTGACGACACGAGTCGCTATTCTTTGGATACGGTCCTAAGGCATAGAGAAGAGAACAGTATTCCATATGCGGCCGGATTAGCGCCTTACAGAGTACTGGGTGGGCTGGAGTGAAATACTGCCTCGATCTGTTTAGCACACAAAGCTTCTTCGAGGCCAAGTTGACTTTACCCTCTAAATGACCGCGAAACTGGACTTTGTTCGATATGTCGATGCCTAGGATTTCGATACTCGCTGAGGCAGTTCGGGAGGTGCTCTCGAACCGAGGCGATACGACAAACGGTATCTTTTACACTGTACTGGTACAACTACCTAAGCATGAGAGAGCTATGCTTCGGCAAATATGACTCGGCTCACCTGAAGTGTTAAGCAATTTTTTCCTTGATTTTCACCAAGTGAATTTAGACGAAAGCTCCCCCTCTCCCCTACCTCACCCCCACTCAAGAACGGCAACGCACTTGCATCTCTTGACTGGCAGATGTCCATGAACGGCGATAATCACTTTACATCAGGTGACAAATCTGATTTTTTGCCATCTATACCATAAAAATAAACATTTAAATAATTTTGAAATCCAAAGGCTGAGAAGGGCGCAATCCTGTATGCCTACTGGTTGTCATCATGCTCTTGGCGGGTGCGAGCAGCCTTGACATTGAAAAAGATCCCGTTTGAAGAGCGCACAGTAGATATAGTAAAAGAAAAAAAACAGTTCACTGAAGACTACCGAGCTATCAATCCTGCGCAGAAGGTACCAGCACTGGCTATAGGTAAGTGAAAATAAAATACTGAATTTCTTAACACAACGAGTGCTGATCTGATGTCCCTGTCCTTAATAGTTAGTAGCTTGGTAACACATAAATATTAACCTGAATACTTGTCAACTATATTGTCATGTTTGTGAAATATTGCCCAACCTCCGTACACAATCATTTCTCAATGATCACACAATTAATTCATCTGCTGAACAATGACCATCTATGACGTCAGCGTATCAATTCCTCGTGTCAACAACCTAATCATAACGGTAATAGTCCGTCCAACATCGCTGAACTAGCCTATCTGTACTATACTGTACTCTAAACAGATGTCACCTACAATGTTGTAAACTGTCCCTAATTTATTAGGGACAGTCTACTCGTAGATTACCAACGCAACAAAGATACCGCACTAATGTAAGATTGAAATAAAAGGCTTAAGAAATGTCTTTTAGATGTAATCAACCAGAATATATGTAGTGTCAAAGAGTCAATATAATTGCTAACCACAGCTTTGGTATGCTAATGGTCATCGCTTATGAAATATATCAGAAATCATTCAGTTAGATAGTTACCGATAGAAATACAACAATAGTTTTCCGTAAGCTAGAAACGGTCAAACGTTTGGTACTTTATACATCCAACCAAAAATAAAATAATTCAATAAAAAATACAGTTTCAAACAGCATATGTCTGGACTTTACATTCATACATTTTAATAGTTTTTTTTTTTTCAAATTCCTGTACAACAACTTACGGCTTAAAGTCGGAGATAGGGAATATCAGATGTCTGTAAGACTTGGGTTTACAAGTCTTGTGTTTACAAGTCTTACGGAAATCTGATATTATAATATAAGTGGGTGTGGGGTGGTTTTCAAGATATTTTATAATATAATAGATATTTACTTTTACCAATATCTGTCAATAAAAGATTTTACAACAATTGAGATTTATACAATAAAATGATTTTTCTTTTTGAACTTATAGAAAATTATTTTCTACATTTTAATTCGGCTAGTTACAAAAGCGTGTTTTTTGCATATTTTAAAATTCAAATAAACATAAGCATATAGTGCAGAAAGAGAAAAGTGAAATGTTATTCAATGTGACGGTTATTACATGAAAGAATCTGTTAGTTGATTGCTTACACAATATCCCCGAAAGGACTAAAATCTAATTTCCCATAGGCAAAAGAAATAATAAGTCATTTCTACTAAAAGATTTCGATAAAGAATTTGATTAAATAAGGGTCCTTGAGGTGTTGGTGACATGTACGTAAGCGTTTCTAGTTACGTAATTAAAAAATATTGCTGAACTTTTCTCTTATTTATGTTTTTAATACAGGTTGTGAAGTTCTTAATAAATATAATAATAATAAATTTACACATCTCACCCACGGCAGTCTGATCCCAAACTAGGCAGAGCCTGTGCTATGGTAACCAGACTATTTATAAACATACTTATATATTTTTAAATATATTCTATAAATACGGCTGGGGCCGCGGACTATCCTGACAACAATACACAAGAAAACTTTCTTTAACCCGTAACAATATCCGGGACTTCAAAGTCTAATTTATTCTATTGAATCAACGAGTTTTTCCGTTTTTTGGATTACTATCAAAAGAATAAAATATACATTTTGTGCTGTGACCATTGCGTAATATGCAACCATTAGGTTTGTTTTAGTTTATACTTAACAGAAGAAGAAGGGATTTTTAATAATCAATTACCCTAATTTTTTGAGCCAAGAGTTAGTTTTGAATATTTATTTTTGGTTTCGATTATTATTCAGGAAGATGATGCGTGTGTACTGTTATTACACACTATTATCTTCACGATCTGAGCTAACTATGAATTCAGGTGAGACTAAAAAAATCATTAAGTTTATGATTATATGATGTAACAAAGGAAATTCGAAAATTCTACTTAAGCTGTCATATCATCACTGTACCCGATTTTTGTAAAAAAAGCGTAATTCGTCGGTCGTCATCAAATTGTACACATTTTGTAAAAAATACAGTACTTACATGTATATTAGTCATACATTAACTAAAACAAAGTAAAAACTTTCATTATCATATTTATTCAATTTATTAAATTATATACAGTTACATTCACATGTATTTTTCGGGAGCCTTTTCTCCAGAGGTCAGGGGAACCATTCATGTGTTTAGCATCAGGTCGACATCGGGTCCTAAGCTACTCGTACATTCACTAAACATATACTGAAGTGAGAATCATGCATTCTTAAATCAGTTTGGTAATTCAAAACATAAATATAGTTGCCCGACATTTGTATGTCTAACAACATCAAGTACCCTACAAATCAAACTAATCACCGTACCCTTGTTTCTACTAACGTGATTCCACTTGTCAAATATTAGGCCGATAAGTATTGTCACCATTTATGTGAGTGCCTTGAATATTTGGTTCAATATTCGCTGATGTCACCGTATCGCGACGGTTGGCCCTCGCCTCATTCGAGTGCACTCCGGCTTTGCTAATAACCGAGCCATTAACACTCTATATTGCTCTCACTTGATTAACCAAATCAGTACTTCTGCCTTCATTTTCATTTCAAAGGGGGAGTTTTGTTTGAAACCTCGGGCATTAATAGGTTATTTACAGTTTTTGACAGTAACGTTTTAGTATTATGTGGTTGTAACTACATAATGTTACTATTTTGACTAAAGTCGAAACTTGGCTCATGTTTTTGCACTAGAACCCTTTTTTGTGTATAAAATATGTTTGTAAAATAAGGAATCTTTAAAAAGTTGGAAACCAAATATTTATTTAATCTTTAAGAAATTCGGTATTTACTTACTTAGTTGGTAGATAGATATCTACTTAGTGGAAACCGGATTTCTTCCTCGTAAAAAATCCCATTTAGGATAATTTGTTCACTACATGTATGCCATGGTATCTTAACTCTTTCACGAATAATTAATTAATAACTAAAGGGTGTATCCGTAAGAGTGCACTTTTTCATATTAAAATAAAAACACGTATTTTATCAAAGAGTTGTGATATTTTTATTGGATTGTAAAGAAGATATGTGCTAAGATTGAGTATGGAATAAAATATCCGGCAAATGGCCCCCAATGGCTCTGATGACAGTTCATTACTCTTTTCATGAAATTTTCCATGACTTTTACACAGAGTGGCTGTATCTTCCCGATGACGCGTTGGATCTCTGATTTGAGCTAAGGAATTGTTTCTGGTTTATTCGCATAAACCCGAAATTTCACAAAACCCCAAAGAAAAAAAACGCACGGCGTTAAATCGTACGGTGTTGATGGTCAGTTGACATCAGAATTTCGTGAGACAATGTGTTCTGGAAATCTTTGCTTCAATAAGTCGATTGTTTCATGAGTGGTTTGGCATGTGGCGCCGTCCTGCTGAAACCATGTTGTCTAGATCCATGCTCCAGTTGAGGCCACAAGAACTCCGTTATCATATTCCTGTAACGAATGCCGTTCAGAGTCAATGCATGTTCGGCCTCATCATCAAAAAAGTAAGGCCCAATCACGCCGCCTGACCAAAATCCGCACCAGTTGCTCGTTGTGGGTGCATTTGTTTCTCTTGGATTGCATGAGGATTTTCTGAGTCCCAAATTCGACAATTTTGGAAATTCACGTAGCCATTCAGATGGAAAACGCGCTTCATTGGGGAAGATAACTTTTTCGAAAAATTGGCATCGACTTCACTCACACTCGCTAGTGCTTCGTAAAATTTGAAGTTGTTGAGAACGATGCCGAATTGATCTTTTCGGGTTTTCGGCAACACTCTCGTTTATAGCAGCAATGTTTTCATGAGACCGACCGGTACGTTGACGCAAATGATTCTTAATATCCATAATCGACCCAGTTTCTTCAAATTTTTTGACCACTTTTCGAATGGCAGACACATTAGGTGCACTTCCTAGACTGAAAATTTGGCGAAGTTTGCGAGCGGTTTAAGCGTAACTTTCATCATTTTTGTAATGAGTTTTACCAATTATAACGCCTTGTTCTTTCGAAAAGCGCTCCATTTTTAAGAATCGAAATAAACATAGGTGACAGCTGTTAAATTGAGTCAGTTTGAGTCGTCCAGCTTGAGGAAACCTAATGTTATATTAACTATCACGCCACCACGTATTTTATTACAACAATTTCAGCAGCAGTCAAACAACTTTATATGTTTTGAAAACAGATTTTTATGGATCTAGAGTGAAAAATAAGCATACATGTTAACTGAAGTAAGCGAGCGAGTAACGGTAGCCTATGCAAGTGCAAGCTAATGGAATTAAAACTTTCGTGAGTTATAAATGATAATCAGACGTCCCCAAAATACACACGTGAGTAAAACCTATTCTCTATAAATATGCAAGCAAGTGGCCGCCTAGGGGAGGAAAACTGACAAATCTGCATCGATACTTTATAGTTAATTATACAGGCCAAGAAAAGTTGACAAAGTTTTGTTGCCCAGAAACAAAATTATAATTTCCTTTAAGGATTTTAGTGCGTTGAATACAAGTTCGGCCGCAGAATTGCTTTATTAGATCAGGTTTTTGAGATATTTTAATCTAAAAGTGCAGAAAAACGCTATTTTTGTCCATTTTTGAGGTTATGTAAAACTTCAAATTTTGTTATGTCTAAAAAAGTACACGGGGTATCTTAAAGTTCAAGTTTTTAGCTTTCAAATGACGTTGAGTTTGTTCAAATATAATTTTTCATCGTAGAAATTTATAGCAATGTCTACTCTCGTCTGATGTTCATTAAAGCACCTCAAAAAAATCGATTAGTCTTGTCTATTCCATGGCAATATCAACAACTTACTTTAAAGATGATTGTAATTAGCGATTAAATAGAAATTGTTGATATACATAGTATGACACCGACACCCCAAAATAAATAAATTATTTAAAAATGACTTCAAAGTTTTTCTAAAAGCCAATTAGTGACAATGAGATTGTTGCTAGACGAAGTCTGCAGTCTTTTAAAGTCCCAAAAAATATACATTAATGAATA